GTTTTAGTTTACCCATGTCCCAGTTTAGTTTTCCATGCCATCCTGCAATAAAGCAGCTTTTTGAGTTTAATTTCGGTGTGGTGAGTTTTGCGTTTGCGTCCTTTTCCTGCCTGGACACAGCCGAAACATGACACATTTTGGTTATTTTGTAAGTGATTTAAGTGTTATTCACATGTTTAGTGAGAGCTGTTAATTACAGATTTAATTTTCTGCTAAAGGGGAGCATTTAACAGGTATTTTCATTAGAAAACTGCGTTTCCCAGAATCCTTCGTGGTAGACGAAAGTTACTCTGGGTTTTAGCTAGCAAAGAAAGTTTCGGGAAGCCATTATATGTTGCTTTGATGTCGAGAAGTTTATTTGTTGTACATTCCCCTTTTTGAAGCCTTATATAAAGACTATCGTTTCTACATCTGATGTCTGATCCATTTTTTTGGCTAAGTGGATTCGCCACAACATAATCAACAATGTTGGCTACGAGTAAAACTAAGAAAACCTAAAACAACCAAACAGACCAGAAACAGATAAAAAAATTGGATTTACATCTTCTTCTTAAACCAGGGGTGTCAAACTCAAACACACAGTGGGCCAAAATTAAAAACTGGAACAAAGTCGCGGGCTAACATTAATATTTATTGAAAAAAAATCTTCCTCCAGATATAAGAATGAATCTCTTCTTATGGACTCAAATACGTTTTGCTGAAAAACTGAATATGGAACAAGCAAAGCTTAATACTAAACAATATATATATTAGCTGTATAATACCAGTAGGCCAGCTCTGATAGTAATTTGGTATGGCTTTGCGGGCCAAATGTAATTAGGCTGTGGGCCAAATTTGGCCCACGGGCCAGAGTTTGACACCTATGTCTTAAACGGTCCTTCCTGGGGGGAAAAACTCATCAAATAATAGGAAATTAAGACAAAAAGTTTAGTTACTGTACATATTTCCTCACATTGTGCCAAACTGTTTATTTATTAATTGGTAAAATAAACTTATAGTATTCTTGATCATATCTAACTCTGTTAAGGTAGAAAAATAGTGCATCTAAGTTGGATTTAAGTAGATTCTTTTTTGTTGTTGTATCTTGAAACCGTTTGCTGGTGAGATGGGCGTATAATAATACTACTACACTACCAGTCCAAAGTTTGGACACATCTAGCCATCCAAACTTGGTGCTGTATACTTTGATGCAATGAAATGTTGAATTGAGCCTAGTCTTTGATGAGTGTTATGAAAATACTGTTGAGACAAACTTGTTTTCATGCAGAAATCTTTCAGGAGTTGTCAGTAGCATGAAATACAAATACATTCATTATGTGAGATGTTTTTGCAGCATATCAAGAATAACAAAGCTATACGTAAATTCAGTAAGTTCTTAGGATGTCGTGTTATCCAATTTCCTTTTTACCATCTTTCAGATAAGAACACAGTGAATTCTGTACTATCACCAAGCAGCTGGGCTGTCCTTGAGACTCTGTGGAGAAAAATAAACTGGATCAAACAGTTATGTCAGTGTACCCCACAAGGTGCAACCAGGCCTTACAACTTTTAGCCCTTCTCATAATAATAGTGTGATTTTAATTATAGAGGGTTTAGGAATAAAAACAGACATGCGCACATCATAGCAGACTGTCTGTTTTTTTTGTTTTTATCTGTTTTACTCTCAAATGATTATTATGTGATGTACACATGCTATGTATTAAATTTTCTATTTTCACTCGACCATTTCTACTCTACCCCCTCTTTATGCTTCTGGCCCTGAACTCTACTGCCATCGGTGCTTTTTACCTTTTTAAAGACATGAATATATAATAAACTGTTACGAGGTGACTGTTGAAACAATACTTAAAATACTAGAAACTCACATTTTACATTTGCCATCTCTAAACTGCTAATTATAGGAAGACCGTGCTGCTGTCCCACAGCAAACAGAGCTAAATACTGTATTTCCCATTTTGTGGTTATGGCGGGTTGCCACTATGGTGGGTGTTTGGATAACAAAACACCCACTGAGAGCCGATGGAGTCTTGCAGCTGGAAAGCAGACCCACGAGCAAACTATTTACACAAGATAATGACTTCATTTTCTCCTTCTTGAAATATCCAACCCCTGTGAATAACTGGCTCTTTAGATAAAAAATGAAGCATGACTCTACAACTGCTCGGCCCATTTTTCACGTTACATTGATCCAGGGCCTCATTTTCATTCACAGTTTAGTTGAAAGCCAGTCTAAAATGTGTAAACCGGTATAAAGTGCGTTCATCCAGTCATCTTTAAACTGAACCACTGCAAGGACAAAGAAATGCCTACATGGTTGGCTGTAGGTCTGCACTCCTCACCTGTAGAAACCTTAAGCAGGAAAAGAGGTTATTCAGATTGTGTTACCTTAAAACAGTCAGGTCACTCAACATAATACTGTCTAAAGATGGTCTAAAGCAAGCCTATTCAAATGGCCCAGAAGCAACCTGCGAGTGGCCCTGCCCGTGGTTCTGGCAGAAACACAGAAAACGCAACAAATTAATTAATTAATTTAAAAAAATTAAAAATTCCTACAGCGTAGTGTAGACCGTGAATGCAACACTCCTAGTAGCCTAGCAATATTTAACCCACAATGCACCGTAATGTAAATATATTAAACTATCGTTGTAATGTATGATGCGACAACAGCAAGTACAGTTTAATTGCGAGTTTAATAATCTTACAACTGGAATTGTACTACCATGGTGAGGGTCCTGTACAGCCCAAGAGAGAGCTGCAGCAGCTTCCCTTCGTGTTTGATTCTTGCCGAAGATTCTGAAACAGTGAAATTCTGCATGCTGGCCGTGGTGGATGCGGTAATAAGTGACAAAAAAATTAAAGTAAGTGTGACATCTGCTATTAAAAACGTACCCCTGTCAGACAGTTCAAATATTCATCGAGTTGAAGTTCTGTGAAGTTCTGGCGTCAGACGAGTTTGAAATGCTGTTAGATGACCTGAAGAAAACTGATTTAATGTCTATAGCAGGAGATCACAGACAGAACTGATAATGCACAGTTGTGCATATATGTCTGTTTTTTGGATGGAAAATTGCTCGGCTTACTACCGTTAGAGGGACACACAGCCGGCGAAATAATGTTTGAGAAGATCTCAGCTCTTTTTGAGGAAAATGGTCTGGATATGAAGCTTGTCTGTAAACCTGTGACAGATGGGGCTCCATTCATGGCAGGAAAAGTATTATTATTATTATTATTATTATTATTTCAAATGTGCAAAAAAAATAGTTAGTTATACTTCCCTTTTTTTTTTAAATAAATAAACAAATCGACCTGCATTTTTGAGAGGTCACCAGATTTACAGGGGGGAAAGGAATAAAAAAATTACTTGTTTTTCAATACAGTTGTGTGGGTTTGAAATTGATCATGATCTGCTGCTTACTGGCTGCAAAAAAATATCTGGCCCAGATAAACTCCTCTGTTTGAAAATCTGGCCCAACTTCTTAGTTGAATAGCCATGGTCTAAAGTAAAAGACACTACATCCTTACAAAATCAGATATTATGTACAGTGCTGTGAAAAAGCATTTTTGCAGTTTTGTCACACTTACATGTTTCAGATTAAACAAATAAAATATAAAACAGAAGTAAATAAAAAAGGCCTTTTTTAAATGATGATTTGATTTATTAATGGAGTAGTTTTGCTAGGCCGGCCACTCCTTCACCACTATTCCAATTATTTTTTTTACATAGGACTAGGTAAGGTTGGATAGCGTTTTTTTTCCTTTAATAAATGAAATCATCTAAAAACTGTACTATGTACTTATTTGGGTAACTTTGTCTATTAGGATGTGATTAAGGATCTGAAACATTTAAATGTTTAAATCAAGTTTGGTAAAAATACTTTTTCAGAGCCCTGTAAATTCACAGAAACAGCAGCAGTAATAAATAATATAGCCGGGTTGGCACTAACCTGCAGTAGGTGTACAGGTAGGGCTGGCGGATTGCCTGCAGGGGAGCCCAGATGATGAAGCCCAGCAGAGCAAAGGGCAAGGAGGCGAGGAGGAGGAGCAGGTAAAGGGGTGCGGCGATCAGCACGCATAACGTGAGGAAGGAGCAGGGATCCTGGGAGCGCTGTCGCTTCTCCAGCGAGGTGGCCACACAGGACGCCAGGAGCCGGTCCAGGAACCAGTAGCAGGGAAACACCAGGCTCCACGACAAGCCATCCAAGAAGTGCAGACAGGCACTGGAATACGGGGTGATGTGGAGGACCATCTCTTTCCTTCTTTCTCTCTCTTTCTGTCTGTCACTTTCTCCTCACCGTCCACGCCCACATACACTATAATCAATCACAAAATCTCTTCCACTAATTACATAAGCAGAAATAAATGAAAAAAGATCAGACTCAAATGTAGACCCTCCCCCATTCCTTGGAGAAAGGAACACTACATGGTTTGGATGATTTCTATCTTCACAGGAAAGCTTATCTCAGTCTCGCTGCCCCTCCCTCAGTAATTACACCCTCCACAGGAGGGGTCAAGGAGCGCAGTCTCGAGGTAGGCAGTTGTCATGATGAAAGCTATTCCCTTGATGACGGATCTATGATTGCGAGGACTCAAACCACCTCTGCGGGGGGTATCCACTCAACATCAGCATTTCCTCCAAACCTGAAGAAAGAAGCACATCGATAGAGGAAAGGCGGGAGAGAAGGAAAAAGAAGCAGGGGATCAGTTTCCACAGTTTCCACTGGGAGTGAAACTCATGCATGTCAGAATGACTGTAATTGCATAATAACAGCGCATCCCCACAGAGGCTTGTAAGCTACAGGCAAAATTATTTACTGTAGCTTGTCTCGTCTTACAAGAAGAAATAATAATGTATGACAGCGAGTACGACATACTCCTGACAACAACACATTATAGGATGTATTTTTTTAAGCTATTTCAGAAGACAAGCAGTTGATCAGACTGTGGTCATACTACTGGGGTGCACGAGATAGTCAGTTGGCACTAAAATCAGCTGATTTGCATGGATGGCAGCTAAACTTGACTTTGTAGCCTGCTTACACTTATGTTGCATCTAAACTGGAAATGATTTGTTTACCGGACGTCACTTTGAAGCTACCTGCAGGTCGCTTACGGACATTCCAGTTACCTAGAAAACAACTTTATGTATTTACTACCACATCATGAGCCAATCAGTGGCCTTTGTCATTCTCACTGGTAGCTGTTTCAGTCACTCGCCTGCAAGTCTAATAAAGTTTATCTCAGGTCTGGCCAGAGATGGGCAGTAACGCGTTACTTGTAATCCGATTACTTTTTTCAAGTAACGAGTAAAGTAAGGGATTACTATTGCAAAAACGGTAGAGTACCGTTACTTTCCCGTAGGAACGCTGCGTTACTGCGTTACTAAAACCGTGATTTTATTGCGAGAATGTCTCATGACAGTGA